GACAAGGGCATGCAGGTGTGGGCCCTGGGGAGCGGGTCCTGTTCATCCTGTTAATATCCTACAGCAGGGGAGTGAGGGCTTTGGCGGGGATCAGAACCATCAGTGCAGTTGGAAAACAGGCAAATCCTCAGGCCCAAGCCAAATTTGGAGGTCCAGAGTGGGGCCCAGGAACTTGCGCTTTTAAACACTCCATGTGATTCTGACTTCAAAGACATTGAGAGGCAATAATCTTGAGTATTTAAAAAATTATATAATTATACTCTAGCTACATAAATTTTCTGTAGGATACTTAACATTAAATTCTACCTAAACTGCTAAGTAAAAGCAAAACAAGCAAAATGGCTTCCCTAACTGATCAAGATCCTTTGAATTGTACCTAGTCAATAGTTTTAGGTTCCAAACCTACATTCCTTCTCAATAGTTCTTAAATTGAATGCCAAACACTTTCACATGTAGATAGATCTAAGAAAACATATACAAACACATACACACATTTGGAGGTTCACTGAAGATTTCAAATTAAGGGGTCAAATGTATATTATCAACTTACTATTTTCAACATTTGAACCTCAGTTAAGGCCCAAATTTCTCTTTTTATTTTTTGCAGTACGTGGGCCTCTCACTGTTGTGGCCTCTCCTGTTGCGGAGCACAGGCTCTGGACGCGCAGGCTCAGCGGTCACGGCTCATGGGCCTAGCCACTCCGCGGCATGTAGGATCTTCCCGGACCAGGGCACGAACCTGTGTCCCCTGTATCGGCAGGCGGACTCTCAACCACTGCGCCACCAGGGAAGCCCTAATTTTTACTTTATACTGGAGTATAGTTGACTAACAATGTTGTGTTAAGTTTCAGGTGTACAGCAAAGTGATTCAGTTATACATATATACGTATCTATTCTTTTTCAAATTCTTTTCCCATTTAGGTTATTACTGAATATTGAGCAGCCTTCCCTGTGCTATACGGTAGGTCCTTGTTGGTTATCTATTTTAAGTAGAGCAGTGTGTACGTGTCAACCCCAAACTTGCAATCTATCCCTCCCCCCACCCTTCCCCCGACTCCCCGCCCCCATAACCATGTTGCTAAGTCTGTGTGTCTCTTTCTGTTTTGTAAATAAGTTCATTTGTACCATTTTTTTAGATTCCACATATAAGCGATATCACATGATATCCATGCTGCTGCAAACTAAGGCCCAACTTTCTTACTTTTCAAACACTAAGTTGGCATGAAATATGAAAATATAAAAAGTTAATAGAAATAATTATCACTGAGGAAATCCTTAGATTTGATTTCCTAAAGTAAGACAAGCCTTGAAATTTTCTTGTGCATATGATAGGCCTAAATTAAAATTCCAACAAGCCCTGCACGTCAAGGTACTCATTTAACAAAAAGATCAAATTAATATTATGGCAGGTCTTAACCTCAGAATTTCCTGAAATGATTGCTTAAAATGTCAACCTTTATTTGCTATTAATACCTTTACATTTGGATATTTATAATTACTCTTTTTTATGTGTAGAATTCTTACTCTTGAGAGTTGGGGCCCTTTTTCAAACCTCTGTTCAAGGAAGTACAAAGCAGCTGACTAGTTTTCTTACTAATCTTTAAAAAAACAAAAAAAGCATTCAACAGGTAAGAGCTCAACTTGACGTTAATAGCAAAGAGCAGTGTTCTGGGGAGTCTCCCTTGAGCTTGAACACCGTACCTTATCCTTGTGATTGGTTTCTGCATTTCCCAAACCCAAACCTCTCAACTGGTCCATGCAAGCCTAGTTAAAATATTCTGAAATTCTTCTATTTCAAGGGAAATTATCTGCAGAGTCCTTGCCAGTCTTTCCTTTTTCCTCTAGTGGGTGGGAGGAACTGAGGGTAGATATGAGAAAGACAGGACAGGAACTCTGTTCTGCCAAAGGGAAGAGAAAGATGATCAGGATTCCCCCTACCCAGTTAGGTATTTTACATCTGCATGTAACAAACTGAGATACTTACAGTAGGTACAAGACTTATTTTTATGTCACTGCCATAGTGCAGATGATTTAAACAAAAGTATTAATAGCTTCTTTCTCCCTAACTTTGTATGTTATTTAACCAATGCAGAGCAAGATGCTTTAGGATGCTTTTTAAATGTTAAGCTTAATGTGAAAAGTCACTGGAACTTACATACAGTAAGGCAGGTTCCGCAGCTGTGGGTTCAATCAACTGCAGACTGAAAATATTCAGCAAGGGACTTCCCTGGTGGTCCAGTGGTTAAGAATCCACCTTCCAATGCATGGGACACAGGTTCGATCCCTGGTCAGGGAACTAAGATCCCACATGCCACGGGGCAAGTAAGCCTGTGTGCCACAACTACTGAGCACGTGGGTCACAACTAGAGAGAGGCCCGTGTGGCACAACGAGGAGTACCATGTCACACCTAAGACCCAACGCAGCCAAACATAAAATAAATGGTAAAAAACAAAAACAAAAACTCAGGAAAATAAATTCTAGAAAACTCCAAAAAGCAAAACTTGAATTTGCTGCATGCCCCAGCAACTATTTACATAGCCTTCACATTGTGTTATTATAAGTAGTCTAGGAATGATTTACAGTATACAGGAGGATGTGTGTAGATTATAGGTAAATACCATGCCATTTTATATAAAGGACTTGAGCATCCTTGGATTTTGTTATCCTGTGGGGGACACGTGGGTAGTGTCCTGGAACCAATTCCCTGCTAATACTAACTACTAAGAGCTGTCTTATTTACATTCCAACTTTATTTTTACTCTGTAGCTAAAGTAACTGCAATATGGCAGGGTTAAAGTCAGTAATTTGGCCTTTCCAAAGCACTCAACACTTGCAAATATACTTTTCCAGGTCCTTCCCCCACCTCCTCCACTTACCTCTGATGTAGCATTTTCAAGCTTCTAAATAGTTCAAGAAATTTGAGCTGTAGGAAAAAAGTGATCCTACAAATACCCCCAGGTACTGTGGGTAGTTGGCCAATTAGTCCAAGGTTAGACAGCATGTTAAATATTGAGCTAAAATCAATCCTTGAGTTTCTGGTTCACTTTCGTTGGATACCCTCTTCGATGGTTCTAAAATTAGTAGTTAATAACCACACTCAGTTGTACAGTGGTCAAGGTTTGTGGGTGAAAAAAAAATGAAGACCACTGAGAAATTCATTCCATCGACAATGACACCTAATACAGTGCCCCTCTGTAACGTGGACATAGCAATCACACCATTCTTCTGGTGACCAGGAAGAGACTGGATAAAAGACACCAGAGGAGAACCTCAGGAAGTCCTGAGTGACTCTGGCCGTGAAGGGGAGGTTCAAGCACACAAGTTCATGGAGCAAGAAAAACAAAAATACTCACATCTACTCGCCAGACCCCATCCTCAAAGGCTAGTATAAAAGTAAGAAAGGGCTGGGTCAGCTTAATAAATTTTCATGTGTCTTTAGTTGCTTTGTTAAAAATAATATGCCTAAAAGTCTGCAGATGAGGTAAAATGTTGTTGAAAAGAGGCATGTTCCATATAGATCTCTCGAGCATTCCTAACACTGCCAAAGCCTCCTTAAATCTTCCGGGAGACAAAACAGTCTCCTAGAGGGAAAAAAGTCTCTAACAGAGCTGTAGCTGTGATTTGCTTTTATTCCTAGGGTTTTTTTCCCCCCTTAGGTATTTAAAATCATATCAGAAATAAAGATCATACCAAAAATAATTTTTTGTAATATAGTAGAATGTCACTGAACTGAACTTTGCCTAACAACTAGCATAAAGTTGTCGATCCGTCTTGCATTAGCAAAAACAAAAATATGAATAAAAATAAGAAAATGAAACCAAAGAGAAATACTATTAAGAGGAAAAACAGACAAAATTCAAATTTACTTTGAAAAATCTGATTTTATTTTCTGAATCAAAAAGAAGTGTATTCATGTTAAATTTAGAATGTTTAACTTTCCATTGATCTCTCAAAATACTTTCCAAATATTGTTGACAGTGCTCAGAACTGTGTAAAAGTTAACATCCAATACCACATTTTTTTTTCCAATACCACATTTTAAAGAAAAAAGTTTAAATGCAGGATCTATTTCTAAGAAACCCTTCTCAAAGGTCAAGGCATTGGCAATTCTAATTTTAAAAGAAAAGAATTTTAATTTTTGGAAATTTAAGTGACAAAGGTTTTCAAGAGCTATATATCAAATCTCTTTTAAAACAGAAACAAATTTAATTTCTGAGGGACTCATACCTGACAACTCCAATTAAACATGATACTTCCCCACCCCACCCCCAAATTACTAAATGCGTTATTTCACCTTGGAATAGGAAAATTATAAAATGTAATTTAAAAACTATACTCTTTCTATATATTAATACATCATTTTAACTGTCATGTTTGCTAGCAGAATTATAAAATTAAAACCAAATTCTACATTCAAGGGACAAATGACAAATGCTCTCATTGCTTTATTTAAGAGTCTATCCCATTCTTTGTTGTCCTCTACCCCCATATTTTAAAATCATGACCAAAGGTCAGAAGTCAATCCATTTACCTGAAATGAATAACTAGTAGATACTGGTCCTACATCTGTGTCCTTTAACAACTCAGTATTCAAAAGGCTGGGGTGGGGGGGATTTAGAAGAACATGACTTAGGAACACTTTAGAATTCCAAAGTGACTCTGATACCCACGTCCCTAAAATCTAACAAACGTTATACATAGGCTATTCACGTGTACTGAAGCATGTCCAGCATGCAGGCGAACTTCTTTTACTTGTTCAAATTGAGGTAAAACAGACAAAAAATACACAATATTAACAGAAGCTGCATAATTAAAACTAACCTTCTTTTGCTGCTTATTTCATATAAACTGATTTTTAAGTTTCTTCACAAAAAAAGAGATGCTATAGCCAATGATTTCTCCAATTTCAGTCACCCAAAAAAGTACGCTGCTTCTTTCAAAGTCGTTATTAGTAAAGAATGTTCTGAAATGAAGAAAAACATTTTTCTCCAGAATGTGCATTTTGTACTTAGAGTGATACAATTTCTTATTACTTTATTTTTCAAATTTAGAAGGAACTCAAGTCTGGGTACTATCTGATATGTTTTCAGATACCAAGCAGTACCAACAGGATTCATAAATATGGTTTTCTGACAGGTAAATCGGCTAACATTTACAAAATACCAACAATTCTTCTTTCAAGCTTAAGATGGCTGAGATTTAGTAGTTATGATTAGTTTTTCAGTACAAATATGCATTTAAATCTTGATTTTTTTTGGCCAACATTTTAAATAGTCAAATTTTACTCCACTTCCAGGTTTTAAGTGAAAACATAGCAACAAAAAAAAACTAGTGAAAATTACCCAACTGGCACAAGTCCCATATTTCAATGTTATTTTTAACCCAATAATTATAACCTACTGCCAGTAATTATTTATATGTATCTACTTGTTTTTATTAAATAAGCACTGGTCAGTTATATAAAAGAATTTTGCAAGAATGGTACTTGGCACTGGGTTACCTTAATGCTTCTGGTATTAATAGAAGCACTTAGAAAAATACCAGCTCTTAAGCACTTTTTGTCTGTAATTTGAATTTCCAAAAGCTTTTTTTCAATGTTACTTTTCCATTGGTAGATTCTAGGGAGTCTAGTCCCAGCTGATCTGGTTGATTTTAAAAAACAAATAAAAAATCCCTAAGTCACATAATAATGGGACACTACACTTGCTTTTTACAGCATATGAAAACAGTTCCAGGCAGACCAAAAGTAGAAGAAAACCTGCCAAATCAAAGTATTGTAAATAAAGTTCATCTTACGTACCCCAGAGCAGAAAAGCTCAAAAATCAAAAAAATAAAATCAAACCCCCCCCACCCCCGCTTTCCTCCACGCAAAACCCCACCCCAAACACTTTAGTTCTGAGCTTACCATTTCCCTAAAATGTTAATACCAGAAGCTTTAAGGTACTTAAAGCTGCAGCAGTAACAAAGAAAGCGCTACACCACAGGGGAAACGCTACAAAGGGTGCCCACTCAGCCCTCACCACCCTACCCCAATAACACATAAAAGCTCCTGTGGAAGTTGTTTTTTCTTATGCTAATAAAGGCATACCACCTAGTGTGCTAAAGACTAAAAACTAGCAGCATTAGAACAGGAAAGTGAAAATAGGAAGGCTACAGGAATGATCTAAATGCCTACTTAGGAGAAACAGAGCAGCAGACAGGACCCTGGCCCTCTAGTGTTTGCAGGGAAGTGGTGGAATTAAGCAGTCAGATTTACCCACATCAACACAAATTTAACAAAACTTCTGCAAGACACCAGAATAAAACCTGACCTTTCCAGTCAAAGGGCACAGAGAGGCCTCATCCATGTCCTGGAGTTGAATGAGTTCAAAGATTGGCAATAAAGGAAAAAAGAAAGCATTAGGGGAGTGATGGGAACCAGCTTCGCAGTTTATCGAACAGTCACCCCAAGTTTCTCCAGCACACGAACACCCTTTTCTTGGTATTCCTGTCGGGTCATCCAGAAGTTGTCTTTGTCCTTCATGATGTCCGCTAGAACTGCGCCACCCAGGAATACCATGTGCTTTCTGCGGGGTGGGTCTTCAATGCGGATCTTGAATTTCTAAAGGAGAAAGAGGAGATGATAAAACGTCACACGCATGGTGCTTTCTGCTTTTTGAAAATGACTTTTTCTTATATTCTCTTGTTGAATTCTCACAAAGGTCCTGTGATGTAAGTATCTCAGTTAGAGAGAGAAATTTTGCAATTTGCCCAAAACTCACAGCCAGGAGATCACACATCCATCCCAGTGTGCTTAGAACAGTCGCAATGTACACCTGTGGCCCCATCATTAACTACACTCCTTGTCACTCTCAAAAGCAGCCTGATTTGAACAATGAATTCCATGTTTGCCCTACCAAGAGCCCAAGAACCAGAGCCCTGTGACAGGCTTCCCACTAATGGGCAAATCACCTGGCCAGCTGTCAAATAAAGAGTTGGGATAAGAGGACTGCTATAGTTTCTTCAAGGTCTCACGCCCCTATGATTGTAGTCCCATGCAATAGAGTAAGCTTTAAGTTCTTTTCTTATAAGCAAAGCTCACTTTCTATTCTCTCAAATTCAAACGAAATGTTCTCAAAATAAACAAGGCCAAATACGGTCAAAATAAATTATGAGGATGTTGGAAAAAATGAACACAGTAACCAAAATTAAAGACAAGCAGGAGCCACTATTAACTGTCTAACAAAGACTTCCATCTGTAGGTCAGTCAACACCTGAAAGAGAAACCTCAAAATGAAACAGCAGTTTTATTTACAAAGTCACAAATCCCGCAAAAAGACTCAATATAACTGTCATTCTACGTTGTCTTTACGTCACATAAATGAACCGTAGGATCTGTCATAACACATGACATAGAAAAACATGTTTACTTATTAATTCTGAGGCTAACCTACTGTTCTAACTGTTCTAGTTACTATTTTACTCTTTGGCAGGGGTCAGCAAACTTTTTCTGCAAGGGACCAGAGAGTAAGTACTTGAGGCTCTGCAGGTCTCTCTGGCAATACCTAAAGGCAGCCAGAGACAATATGTGACAATAGGTAACATATTATGTGACAAAAGAATGGGTCTGGCTGTGTTCCAAAAAATTTTATAAAACAGCCAGGTTTGGTCCACGGCTATGGTTTGGCAACCCTGCTCTCAGGGACACCTGGCTAGCCCCTGAGGACACCACTGCCCGTGCAGCTTTCTCAACTGGCTGCTATTTCTCTCTCTCTATCTGCCTAACTCCGAAGGTTGGTAACAGTAATTCTTGTTCACTGTTCTCTCCCTCCTCCCTGCATCTCCATAGCCCCTCAGAAACTCATCCTATCTGACTATTCCACCCCTCTTTGCCCAGGGCAGCTATAGATGCCCAGGTTATTCCTCCTCATACCTGCTCTGTGGCACGTGTGCGTGCTCTCTCCACCATGTCCTGACATCATCCTCAGTGACCCTGTCTTTCTCTCCCTCACTCGGCAGAACACCAACTCGGGTGATCAACTCTCTTGCTCTGCCCCTGCCCTCAAGCAACCGAACACGTGTCGGAGAAACTCAACATCTAGCTTTAAACATTACCTCAGCTGAGCCCCTCAGTGCTGCTCAGCAATCCCATGACATTTCTCTTCTCTCTTGCACTCTGCAAGACACCACTTCACACCTCCTCGTCTATCTTATAAACCTCTCCCAGCTCCTTCCTCCTCTCAGAGCCTCCTAACCTGTCTTGTGATTTCACCTTTCCTCCTTCCTTCCCTCAACAATCTATTCACCACCCAGACTTAACGATCCTTTAAACAAGTCAGATCCTACCATTTCTCTGCACAAGATCCTCCTTCCTCAATAGGAGGAAAGCCAAACTCTTCCCTGTGGCTGAATAAGACTTACATCCTGATTACCTTTCTGAGCTCACCTCCCAGCCCCCGCCCTTGCTCACTCTGCTCCAGCCACTGCTGCACACTCCCACCAACTTGGGGCTCTTCCTGCCTGGAAGATTCTTCCCCTCAGAGAGTCAGGCTGCCCACTGGCTCACTCCGTTCAGGTCTTTGCTCAAAAGTTATCTTACCTCACGGGAGTCCTTCTCTGATCACACTACACAAAGGAGCACACCGTCTCCCCCGATCACTGCCCGCTCTCTAGCCCCTAACCTGACTTCTCCATAGTGCTTATTACTACTGATATATTATTCACAGACTAAACACGGGAATTTTTGGTTTTGTTCACCACTGTTTTGTTTCTCCCACCATCTAGACAAGTGTTTGGCACCTAGAAGGAGTTCAAGAAGCATGTGCTAAATAATCATCTGAGACTGATTTTAAATTATATGTATACTCAAAGTCAGACAAATGAGTTAAGTACTTAGACAACATGGCTCCTTTTGGGTCTTTTAATTTGTTTAATGTATGAGTCCATACACAATTTAAGTCACAAATAAAAGATGTGACATAGTGTCTCTAATACATACAGCTCTCTGCAGGACGTAAGCTCATTATATAAACTGATCGAAGTTGGTGAGATGAACCTCAGAGATTAATTTAGAATTAAACGACTCTTAATTGAGTGCATAGTATGTATAGTATACTTCACACAGTCCAGGGTTTGGAGAAAAAAAAATCAATGCCAAACAACGTACTAGTTTAAAAATTTCTTCCTACTCTACACACCAACAACTACCAATTAAAGTCTGTTTCAAGAGCTATGATAGTTGACGGGGATGCAAAAGAACTGGAGACACGGTGTTGTTTACAATCTGATTGGGGAGATAAGACATATGCAAGAAACAGCCAGAAAATAACTCAGTCAGAAACATGAGACAGTCCAAGAGTAGCACTGAATGCTGACTACATATTAAAAAAACAAGTTAAAAAAACCCCAAAAACCCTAAGGGGTCTTTCTCTCCCCATAGTACAAAAGGTTCTTCCCATATACTTACAGGCACCTCTGGCTCCAGGCTGTTTGTTATAGATGAACCAAAACATCTGGCCCTGGACCCAGGTGCCTCAATACACCGAATACAGAGGTGCCCCGGCACTAGGACCGCTCTGAGACAAAGCTCATCTTGAACCATTTACTTCTTCCTACCTCTTCGAGGCTACACTAGGCTGCATTAGGAATTTGTTTAGAAAGACTTCTTGCTCCCTCTGGTGGTTGTCAAGATTCACAAACTATTTTACAGGGTTTTAAAAGTATGTTAACAGTTGGATTATTGATTGATACTTACAGAAAGTTTTTCCACATCTCCCTTCAACACTCGTTCTAAGTAAAGCTGTTTAAGCTCTCGTTCCAATCGTGATGGCAGCCCAGGGTACATAGTAGACCCTCCAGAAAGCACAATGTGCTTATAGAATTCAGATCTAGAAAAACACAATAGGTATTCACTAGGGGGTTCAGATTAGGAAAACAGTATCTCAGAGTTGCTTTTATTTACATCAGCCTCAGGTGGTTGCTGGGAGAATTAAATAAAATTCAACATGTAAACCACAAGGCTGAATGTTTGCTATTACTACTGATAACAGATAATAAACCCTCTTTATATATAAAATTATTAGCATTTTGATAACAATACTTCTAAAGCACATAACATTTTCTTGCAAATGTAACTGAGTCTTTTAGTAATGACCAGTTTACATTACAAACTTGCAGTATTTGGACTGTGCTATCACAGTGCTTCCATGGAGCCACTTAGATGTGGTTGTTTACTATAATTAACCATATTCTACCATGATTCCAGTTCTTGCTTTTGAATTTTTCCATTTGTCTTTTGTAGTTTTCCCTTTTGTTCCTTTGCTTTGAGGCTGTCAGCTATTATTTTTGGTTAGATTGATGTGCTTGCTTCTTAGAGCAGTCCTCGCTTTCTTCCTTAAATATGCTGTTGGTCATGATACCAGATAATCAAATCTAAAATAACTGCATATGTAGTAAAAGTAACATCATCTGAGTGAGGGTCTGAGGAACTCTTCTCCTAGTAAAACTCAGGAGCTAAGTCACATCCATTTTGGCCTCATTCAAACTCACTTCCAGGTTTTTACTTACTTTCAGGTTCTCAAAGGCTCAGGCTATTATAATTCTAGCTTCTATAAGAAGTTCTGTATTGTATTTAATTGCAGAAGTATGCACATGAGTGTGACATAAACTAAGTTGCTGAGGTATAGCTACATGTGGTATGTGCCCATGAGCATTTATTTTTCTTTTCTTTTTAAAATTAATTTATTTTTATTTATTTATTTTTGGCTGCACTGGGTCTTCGTTGTGGTGCACGGGCTTCTCATTGCGGTGTCTTCTCTTGTTGCGGAGCACAGGCTCTAGGCACGCGGGCTTCAGTAGTTGTGACTCACAGGCTCTAGAGTGCAGGCTCACTAGTTGTGGCGCATGGACTTAGTTGCTCCGCAGCATGTGGGATCTTCCCGGACCAGGGCTCGAACCCGTGTCCCCTGCATTGGCAGGCGGATTCTTAACCACTGCGCCACCAGGGAAGCCCCCCATGAGCATTTACATGTATGCTTTCAACACACAGGACATGCAAAACAAAATTTGAGTTGTGCTGCTTTCCAGTGCTAGCAACGTGGAGAGGGTACTGAACCTAACGCCATTGCTTTAGGACCGAACACCAAAACTTTAATCACTACCAACAGGAATGCACTTTTAAATATAATTTTGCTATTAGTGATCATTAAATCAAGGAATAAAAGCATCTACCCAATCCCTACCATAAGAATTTATCATAATTATGAAGTCTAGATGAGATTTTTGATCATCCTCCATTAGATTTATAGCTTTTTATAAGCCAATTGCTATTTTTATTAATTTCCATTACCAGCCTGTTCCCCAGCCAGCCCACAGAAGTTATGGGGGTTATTTCATTCAGGGTTAAATAAAGAAGTAGGCAAACACTTGCTTTTAATAAAATGCTTCTGAGTGAATTTCTCAATAACTTGAGTACAAAGGAGAGCTTTCTAACTATGACTCAAACTCTAGATGCAATAAAAGATTATAAATCTTTTTATATAACTAAATAAAAACAAAATTTTGTATGGCCAAAAACACCATAAGAGATGAATGAAAAATGACAAAATGTCTGCAATAGATATCACAGAGCTAATATAAAAAGAACTTTTTCAAAAACTGAGAGAAAACATTTTTTTTTAATTCCATAGAATAGGCAAAAGCCACGAACAGATAATTCACCAGGAGAAGATATAAAAATGGCCCTAGACATAGAAAAATATATTCAACTTCAATCTTAAGAGAAACGCAAATTAAAACTACATTAAGATATCATTTCTCACTCATTAGACTTGGCATAAAAGTAAAATGCTGAAAAACTGTGTGAACAAGCTGTTGGGGACACAGATGCCCTCATATATGACTGGTGGGAAAAAGAAAGGGTACAACTTTCATAGAAGGGAACTGAGCAATAACAAAACCACACACATTTATCCTTCAACCCAACTATTCCCCCCAGAGTTTTTCAGAATATATATGCCCAACAATACAAAGATACTGTGTGCACAAGGTTATTAAATGCAGCATTATCACTGCATTATCACACTGGAAAAAAGAATGCAACTGGAACAAAGAATAAGGACAACCCCTAGGAAGTGGCAGATGTAGAGAACAAACGTGTGGACACCAAGGAGGGAAAGTGGAGGAGGGATGGGGGGCGATGAACTGGGAGATTGGGATTGACATACATACACACGTGTATTAAACGGATAATAAAAACTTGCTGTATAAAAAAAAGGCAGTTTTAGACATTAAAAAAAAAAGCTTGTTTCAAATACATTAAGTGAAAAAAGCAAAGTGCAAAAGAGTATTTACAGTATGCTACCTTTTGTGTAAGAAAATAAAAAAGAGGGAGGAGGGCTAGGGTGAAAGACAAGGGGTGGGGAGAGTAATACTTCTGAGTATACTTTTTTGTATAGTTTTCACTACCTATTCAGAAAACAAAATTAAAGATGAGCCAGGAATATCCTGTGCCACAAAACAGAATGAAGTAGAATGTGCTCAAAAAGAGATGAGGGCACATCAAAGGACACAGGAGCTTGCTTGAAGGGGCTCTCACAGGCGATATCAGGAAGAATTTAGCACCAAAATGAAATAAGGCAGTAATAAATTATATAATCCACCAAATAAAATCCTGAGACCATACTGATAATAAACAAACAAAACAAGGGAGAAAGGAAAAGGACTTCTTTATGCTAGAATGCCAACTAATAAATACAGAATGACAGAATGAGAAAAAATCACCTTTTTGCAACCATCACAATAAAAATGGATTTAGGCAAGAATCATCAACAGACGCCAAAAGGGGTGGGGGCCAGAGTTTGATGAGGAACAGGAGATTTACACAGTCTCAAAGTGTTTTCCCACAAATTACTTAAAAGTCAGGAAAGGAAAAAAAAGAAAACCTACACAGTGGAGAAAATAGGAAATTTCATTAAGAGTTTAACACTAATATCACCAATTCGGAGCAAACAGACATCACTCTGGATGTGATAACCTGAGAAGGACACATCACTTAAGTACTGTTATAGCCAAAAATGCACAATCTAAATCTAATCATGAGAAAACATTCAAACCCAAATTGTACTCTGCAGAGATATCAATGTCATAAAAGACTGAGAAACTGTAATAGATAAAAGGTGACTAAGAGACATGATGACTAAATACAATGTGTGACCTTAGATTTGATCCTTTACTGGAGAAAAGAAAAACTGTATAAAGGACATTATTGAGACAGTGAACAAAACAAATACAGATGGTAGATAAAAGTATGTCAGTAATCAATCCCCAGAACTCAATAATGCACTGTGGCTATAAGAGAATAGCCTCATTCCTAAGAAATACAAGGTGAATATTAAGCAGTAAAGAGGACTTATGCATACAACCTACTCAAATGGCTCAAGAAAGAAAAGAGAGAGCACACAAACATGCAGAATGTTAAAATCAGTAAAATGGAAAACTGGATAGTGTACAGGAGTTCTCTATTCTATTCTTGCAACTTTCAACATTTAAACTATTTCAAAATAAGATTAAAGAGGCACCTGAGACACAATGATATACGCTGTTAAACAACCAATGTCAACCTATCAGAAACCTGAGTGAGATAATAGACAACTTGGTCATTCTAGCTATTCAGATTCCATCTATTTCTTTTCCTTTTTTTTTTTTTTTGCGGTACGCGGGCCTCTCACTGTTGTGGCCTCTCCCATCGCGGAGCAACAGGCTCCGGATACGCAGGCTCAGCGGCCATGCCTCACGGGCCTAGCTGCTCGGCGGCATGTGGGATCTTCCCGGACCGGGGCACAAACCCGTGTCCCCTGCATCAGCAGGTGGACTCTCAACCACTGCGCCACCAGGGAAGCCCTATTCTATCTATTTCTGATAAATAACTTTGAAACAACAATTTCTAATGTACCTGGTATCGATGTCAGCTGCCTGGATTGTGTTAAAAAGCAATTCAGCAACACCTACTCCCTCAACATTGATCAAGTGAGGCTGAAACAAAGCTTCTGGTGCTTCAAATCTCTCTCCCCCAACTTTGATAATGCGGCCATCTGGGAGCTAGAAACCAAGAACAATCAGGTATCAGCAAAAGATTTTAAAAGTTCCTAGTGTTCTTTAGATGTTAGTACTTATAAACTTATAAACACCTGTTCTAGAACCAAAATCATTATCAGCAATACATTTCTCCGAAAATACATTTTTGAAAAAAGACAAAAAAGGTAAATTAAATACATCAGAATAATTGTTTTTATTATCATGTTCTGTTCTGCTTTTAAAATGGTATGTCATGCCCCCAAATAGGAGGAATTTCTTGGAGGATTCGCCAACGCATGAGTGTGTCATGTTCCACTGGTGTGTGCAGGTGAGCACTACAGGAGGCGCTGATCACCCATGGCAATTGGATTTTTGCTGGGGTCAGTGTTGCTTATCATTTTAACACATTTGTGAGTTTACGGATATTTTTACCATGTAGCACAGACAAATTCAATTAAAAATTTTAAGTAATTTCTTTCACCAAATAATTACTCTGGGAAACTTTATTATTTTGTCATCAAAACACTTTATATCACGTGTGAGACTTCTGTCAAATCATTTAATCCAAAAAAATTGTATGACCAAGAAAACTTAAAGAATATTGACCTAGACTATTGGGCAATTCTGTTGTATCCTACTTACTAGGTCCTATTAAATTTTAAATGATAATGAATAAATAGAATTTTAAGAAAATGAGATTTAAACAACTGGTCAGATACCATTACAACATGACCTTGTGCAGAAAACTCTTAAGTTACATCATGTTTATATTTAATTAAATGAGAAATGTTAAACAAAAACTCCCTCACAATTCACTGAATTGACCTAAGTAACAAGCATGCTTGTATACGCTGGCATTGGACACATTTCTGTATGACATACCAGAATTAGTTTTACATTAACATTTCTAACAGTATATTTGTTTAAAATAACATAATTAAAATAATTATCTTTAGATTCCAAAACTGACTTTCCAATATGACAAAGCATGACGAAGTAAGTTCTTTAAGACATTTACCTCAGTTTGCTATGACTGTTTACAAGTATGTGCAAGGCAATCACTCCAAAATTATCTTTTTATAAATCACATCAATGTCTTTAAAAAAAATTTACCCTTAAAAAAAATAAACTTTAAAACCCAAACTTGAAATCACCCCAAGATACATGGAAAAACTTCACATGGCACACGACTGTTACCAAAACCTCTGTACCTGGCCCTTCCAGCCTCTGATGGTGTGGCTCTTCTCAAAGCTCTATTTGCAGGCCAGCCTGGGGCCACCTACCCTAGGAACTACCTCTTGAAACTGTTAAAACTGTATATGCTTCCCATTTCTTTGCACCAAATCTTACCCTTTCCTTTATTTGTCCACTCTTATCCCTCTTCATTTACTCATCAGTTCACTGTTTATTTGTTGCATGTATTTTTGTAACCTACCTCAAACTCTCTGAGAAAGGAGAATAAATAAATAAAATATGTCTTACACTTCTAGTTCCCTTATCCTCTGCCTCATGACACTTTCTTCCAAAGTCAGGTAGGTGACAAATTATAAATCTAGGGTAACTGTCAAGAAGGCTTCAGGAAAGAATCCCCAGAGCAAATCTGGAGATCACTAAGGTGCAAAGTATTGACTTATTGACTATTTGGATCAGTATCTTCTAAAATTAAACAATATAACTTATAAAAATTTATAATTATTTTTATTTATTCTTTTTATTTATTTATTTATTTAGTTTTGGCTGCGTTGGGTCTTCACTGCTGCGCGCGGGCTTTCTGTAGCTGCGGCGAGCGGGGCTACTCTTTGTTGCGGTGTGCGGGCTTCTCATTGCGGTGGCTTCTCTTGTTGCAGAGCACGGGCTCTAGGCGCACGGGCTTCAGTAGTTGTGACACGAGCTCAGTAGTTGTGGCTCACGGGCTTAGCTGCTCTGCGGCACGTGGGATCTTCCCGGACCAGGGCTCGAATCCATGTCCCCTGCATTGGCAGGTGGATTCTTAACCGCTGTGCTACCAGGGAAGTCCCTATTCATTTATTTTTGTTTTCTTTTGGCTGTACCATGTGGCATACACGATCTTTAGTTCCCGGTCCAGGGATCAAACCCGTGCCCCCTGCAGTGGAAGCGCAGTCTTGTTTTTTTTCTTCCAATTTTTTTAAAGATAATTTTTATTGGAGTACAGTTGATTTACAATACTGTGTTAGCTTCAGGTGTACAGCAAAGTGAATGAGTTATACATGTACATATACCTCTTTTTTAGACTCTCTTACCATACAGGTCATTACAGAGTATTGAATAGAGTAGCCTATGCTATATAGTAAGTCCTTATTAGTTACCTATTTTATATATAGTAGTGTGTATATGTCAATCCCAATTTCCCAATATATCCCTCCCCCACCTTATCCCCTGATAACCGTTTTTTTTTAAAACATCTTTATTGACGTATAATTGTTTTACAATGTTATACTAGTTTCTGCTGTACAATGAAGTGAATCAGCTATACGTATACATATATCCCCATATCCCCTCCCTCTTGATCCTCCCTCCCACCCTCCCTATCCCACTCCTCTAGGTCATCACAAAGCATCGATCTGATCTCCTTGTGCTATGCAGCAGCTTCCCACTAGCCATCCATATGGAAGCATGGAGTCTTAACTGCTAGACCACCAGGGAAGTCCCTATAATTATTTTTTAAATGACTATTATGTACATATTTGTGATAGACTGAGTTTACATGAATCAAATGGTTTAAGAATACTTGCTTTTATTGCCTATCACTCAATTTCATTTTAATAACTACTAGATCCTATCAGCACCAATGACATATTGGACCTTACAATTCTTAGTTGCAGAGATGCCCTGTTCATTGTAGGATGTTTAATAGCCTTCCTGCAAAGCTGTAACAACCAAAAAATGTCTCCAGATGCACTGATCAAAGATGCAATATGCAAGTACTTTATACCCAGATGAATGACAGACTTAAAGACAGCAATACATTAAAAATTCAGGGAGGATCAACTCCCCTAGTGTAAACTATAACTAGGTTCTAAGTCTCATCAGTTTCAATTTCAAGTTAACATTTGTTTTGAACATCTCATTAAGAAAATACTAAGTCAGGAAGACTGCCACCTACTGAATTATAAAAGCCATCCTATAGGATGACCACTTCCCAAAGTATCTTAGAACACCAGCCCCATGAAATGCTGAGGAATTACTGCAGTCATGTACAAATCAGCATATCAAAGGCTCTGAGAAGTCCTTTAATAAAGTGAAATCAACTCTCTCCCAAACTTACCTGAAAATGTAGCCCCCATTTTAATTTTTGTGAAATACCTATTAACATCTCACAGAAATAACATTACGTGAAACCCATGCTGAAAAATGCTATTCCAGGCACTAGAATCTCAAAATAATATCTCACATCTAACTGCATCCTAAAGTAGAAAAGCAATACATGATTCTTGCCTTATTTCATGCTATACGGTGTCCTAAAATAATTAAATCATAGAATCATAATGTAGAAAGACATTAAAGATCACACATATACATATTATAACAACCCAAACCAAAAATACTGGATTCCAAGAAAACCTCCTTAAGCACACGCCAATAGTCAAAGTTGTCCATTTTAAAACCACATATATATTATACACTGGAAATACTTACTGTGTAAGATTCAACTAATACTGTAGTTTCTAAGGCCAGTTTCTGCTCTTGCTCAATATTATACCCCACATAACACAATTTTTCTTTAATCATGCGAACTGTTTCAAAATCAGCAGAATGGTTGAAGGCGTAGCCCCGCAACAGAAGCAGCTGGTACAAAAAAATAGCAGTAAATCCACAAGTAATCTGAATGAGTTCAACTCTGCAAAAGCGATTAATGCTCTCTAAATATGTCATATCAATACCAAATGCAATGGACAGTGAAGCCTTAGCTCTTACTGAGTATTTCAGAAATGGGAATATTACTTGCCATAATAGGATTTATATTTCAGTTTCACAGAGACAGAATTAACAGTTCATGAATAATAAATGGCCCAAATGAGCAAAATATCTATTAATAAATAATATTTTACACTGGACTCCTGTAATTCTGCAATTTGCTCAATCAATACTATATTCATGAACTACCCCAGGTCTTAACCAAGTTTTATCCCTAACTTCTATTATGTCTGACACATATTAGACGGGCAATAGCATTTGTTAAAAAAAAAGAAAAACCCACATAATACACATCATAAACAACATTTTCATATAAAAACTTAAGAAAACAAATCCCCTTATCTTTGTGCTTATGTTCAAAAGAAATCCCTTGGGCACCCCTTTGGTAGTCACCTTCCAGTAGAATTTTGGCTTAGAATGAGAGTATTATAATTCTCATTAACAATCTTATTATTACTTTAAATGAGATTAAAGGAACCCAATGTCAAGGTGAAGACTTACTGCAAACTAATTTATTGCACAGATTTCATCCTAGAACAGTCTCTTCACAGCAGCACCAATGACATATTGGACCTTACAATTCTTAGTTGCAGGGGATGCCCTGTTCATTGTAGGATGTTTAGCAGCCTTCCTGCAAAGCTGTAACAACTAAAAAATGTCTCCAGACACTGCAAAATGTCCCTGGGGGGTAGCATCATCCCTGACTGAGAGCCACTGACTGACCTGGAGAGAATACACTAACTACAGAATTCTGGTACAGACAACATTCCAAACCTTTTTTTTCCACATTACAAAAAGCCCACATGCCTCCAAATAGTGGCCTTATATACTTTATCCAGCAATGTTTTAAAGAAAATTATAACTAATTATATTCACAAGTACACTTTATCATCCACCTGTTCAAAGGAAGGTCTTACGGCAGAAAGGTTGCCTAGGTTGTTCAAGGAAGTTTTAGAGTCTTCCTCCATCTTTGAAATACCTCTCTACCCATTCCTTGGGAACAGTAAATATAATTATGTAATGATGAGCTCTCATTAGTATACAAGAAATCACGTGTGTGAATCTCATATGCATTTTATATGAATAATGAACTGGGCCACTTCTCTGGTGGTGCAGATTAGCTAGAATCCTGAGATGATACATTCAATTTTGTGTTAAGTTGGTACACACAAACTACAAAATCTAATTCTACATATATTTTTTGCTTACCTTGATAAGATATCTGGTAATATCTCTCCCAGCAATATCCAGTCTCCTGGTAAGGTGAGGGAGAGAAAAGCCTTCATACACTGGGCAAATGTGAGTCACACCATCTCCAGAGTCCACCACTACTCCAGTTAATAAACCTGTGGAAGAACCATGAGGTTGTAAATAAAAAGCCAAATCAGAAAAATCAAAGCCAGCAAATTTCAAATATTAGTAAAGAAACCAAACTAGAAACGTCACCAACCAGAATGGTCTAAAAGCCAGCATTTCTTTATTGTTTGCTTATTTTGCAGCTTATTTCGAATACACAGACACTAAAGTCAGTGTTCTCTCACATGCTTCCTGTGAGACTTTTAGTCTAATCATGGGCTACCCCAGGAGATAGCCCTAGGACTATTTTTCAGACCTAGGACTGAAAAATACAACGTGATCTTTATTTTTCCTTCCAATTTAATCTGGATCCCTGAATTCTCTTAAAGTAAAATTTTCTAGAGCATCATGGATAACTTTTACAAAAACCACTGTGAAAGGTAAATATTACACAAGTTGATAGTGAACGTGTTGAAATAATCTAGTTCTTTATTATTATTATTTTTGTCATATGACAAAACTGTGTTTGGAAAATTTGCTGATACTAGATAGCTAGAAATCTGGGAACAATTCATCTTGACTAGCCGAAGGATCATTTCAATTATTCACCAGAAACCAAAAAGACAACGTCAGTTAAACCTCTTAAAAAACAGCAAAGCAGCTGCCTTGTTTCTCATATGTGCTGTTTAAAACTATAAATGGCTGCAAATTACTGTTTCACCTTGTGTCAGGGTTAATTCAGGAAAAACAAAACTTTTTCTGACTCATGTTTTCTAGTAGTTTTTAATAATATTTTTAACAACAAAAAAATTTTAACCAGAATATGCATTATCTACAATTTGCTCAAGCATTCTTTTATCATTGTCCCATCCCCGAGTAGGCACTCTCCCTCTTTCTTATTAGGCACTAAGTAACTGATTTATCTTGGAATACGTTTATTCAAACCACCTCCTACTAAAGTTGATATAATCTGTTTTTCCTTGCCTGATTTTTTAAGTTTCATAAAAATCATACACTGCCTCTTAAGGTTGCATTCTTTTAAACAAGAGACTTTCTATTGTAAAAAAGAATAATCCACAATATCATTAATTCAAAAATACTTCCAGTAATATCAACTAAAGCAGCAATTTACATATTTTATTTTCCAAATAGACCTTCCCATCCAACCTCACCTTAATTTCTACACTCCCAGTAGGTTACATACTGGCCTTTCCCTTACGTATTTGACCGGATTCCAGTGCCACACCCTTCTGTCACTGGATTATTCATTCTTTCCACTTCATTCCTAAGGATTCTTTAAAGCTCAATCTAGTTCTTACCTTTCCATTTATACCTTCCCTGACCACTTTAACCTCCAGCCCTGACTCCATGACTCGTTATTCCCCTCAATCCTGTTTGCAAAATGCAGTCAAACATACTTTCCTGAATCACTGTGTTACCCCTCTCGTATTCAAAAACCTTCCCTGGCTCCGAATGCTGCTTCTTCCTTTTTTTGGTTTAACTGGTAGCACTAGCCACCTTGTTTAAGAAGGAGAATTTTTCCACGGCTTAGAGTTCTTTTGATTAGTATTACTGGACTATCATTTCTCAAAATTAAGAATTCAACAGTTAAACAAAAATAGCTAAGTATCAGGAATTAAAAGAGGGTATCTTCTCCTTGGACAGAAATAAATTTATGAATACTGCTAGAAAAATCTGTTAAGGTAAATTTCATTCAATTAAAACAAAAATTCATTTCAGCAGAAGTGTCCCATCCCCACCCCCTAAATGGAACTATTATCACCAATTTCAAAGCTTAGATTCAAAATTTTTAGTATCTATTTTTCCAAAGTATTTTCTAAAATAATTTCTGAAATTTACTTTAAAAAAAATGAAACAAAATTACCTAGGTGCACACAAGCACTAATCACTCACAGCTGAGCTGTAACTGCCTTAAGGACAAGGAGACCACACGTAGCTTACGGAGTAGCTTACTTTACTCACTGCCATATCCTCTGCACTAAACAGAAATCGAGGCACGTGCTACACTTGAATGAATAAAGCCTCTTTAAAAATTTAATTCTCCCCAAGTACCTTCTTAGTATCTATATGTAGTAGTAAGGACAGTTAAAAAACCCAGTATGTATTCTGAAAAGTGATTTTTACTCATGCACGTGTAGAATCAGATGGATCACCACATTAGTTTGTTTCCCAAGTACAACTGACCCCTGAACAACACGGGGGTTAACCTGCATATAACTTATAAGTGGCCCTCTGCATCCATGGTTCCTCTACATCCCCAGATTCAACCAACCACGGACCATGCATGTACTGCAGTATTTACTATTAAAAAACATCCATGTATAAGTGGACTCATGCAGTTCAAACCAGCATTGTTCAAGGATCAACTGTATTGTCATACACTGCTTAAGTACTAAGGCTTGAGACTTAATTGTCACCTCCTTCAGAAATCTTCTCTGACCTGCTGAATCAATTTCTGTATCTTTTCCCCATTAGATTCTAAGTCCTTGAGGCATCTTTACATTTTAAGTGCCTAACAAGCTCTGTAGCACATATCTGATGGCCCCTTAAGTTCTCGATAACACCATCAGGATATAAAGAGTTCTCCCTAAATGGCTACTATTTTATTCCCAATGGACAGCAAGGCAGTTACTAACGGCAGTACCAAGAAAACACAGTAGCTCCCCTCCATTAAATCCACCTCAAAAGTTAGGAAGGCACTCTCAAATGTCTGCCTTTTCCTTTGTATTTAATCTATTATGTATCTGACAAACATGATTTATACTAACATTTTGGCTCTATTTTTTTTTTAACTGCCAATTCTGAGGACAAATTCCATTTTCATTCTCCACTTTATAAAACATTTTTTACTTTAAATAGCCTAAAAGAGGGAACCTTCTACTTTTAAAAAAATTGAGAAGTTTCTTTTTCCTAAGTCTTTCATTGTTTAGTAAAGAAAATAAAAATGTGTATATTTTATTTGACAAATTTTAGAAATTGTGGAAATATCTGAATAAATATTTGAATAAATACATAAATATTGTGCTCTTCTGGGACTTACAACTTACCGAAAAATCAAACTCCTCTGATATCAAACATATTTCATAAATATTTGCTGAATTGATTATACTAAAAGTTAAGCTTCACCTACCTTGAGCATACAAAGTCAAAACTGCCTGGATGGCTACATACACTCCAGAAAACTGGTAAGTTTCAAACATTACCTGAAAATGCAAAAGGAAAGGGAAAAAATTAGTATTTAGAAATTACATAATAAGTATGTAAAATGTTTCTTGATGGTCAGAGTGGATTAGCTATCCAAAATAGAATCAAAGAACCCAAAAGAATCCTCCATTCTCTTTAGCTCTTTTTGCCTCTACTGAAGTCCTGCTGTCACAGAGCTCCAATTTTGGGGACAGATTTTTGAATACACACTAAGTCCCCAAGCATTTCATAACTGCTACAAAGCAAAGATTTCTTAGTGTTTTAGTTAATGGCTAATTAGAGTGAAAGAAAGCATTCTGCTTTTGAACAAGCCTTTCTTCTCAACTGATGTCCCTTAAAGGAAATATCTTAATTTAAAGACCAACTATAGAAATTGCTTAACTGCTTACCTTCGCATCCCTCTCCCTCAACCTGGGCCAAGATAGACTGTGGCTCTACCTCCAGCAGTTAAAAAAAAAAAAAAAGGTAATAAAACAGTAGGGCAGGAGAACAAAAATAAACACAGCAACTCCTGAATGCTGGCAGATCCTGAATGCTCAGCAGCTGAGCCTGCCCTCCCCACTAGAGCCAAGGCTGCGTTCCACTCTCTGCCAAGGTACACTGCAGGGAGGAGTTCCCTCATGCCCTCTCTGCTCACAACCATGCTCATTCTCTGTAGTGCAGGTTGGCTGGGAACATCCTATAGGATTTTCTCTGTCATCTACACCAAGCATTCCTTGATTGGCAGTGCTGACTACCGCTATGAATATCTCATATTTAGAAATTTTACAAATGACCACAATAAGAATTATACAGAATTTAAATTTTACAACTCTGGGGAATTCCCTGCAGTCCAGCAGTTAGGACTCCGTGCTTCCACTGCAGGGAGCACAGGTTCGATCCCTGGTCAGGGAACTAAGATACCGCATACAGCGTGGTGCAGCCAAAAACAAAAACAAAACCAACAAAACTGAATCACTGTGCTACACCTGAAACTAACACATTGTAAATTAACTATACTTCAATAAAATTCAATTAAAAAAATAAAAAATTCTAAAATACATACATACAAAAATTTTACATCTCTGAAACACATACTCATCAATTAAGCAACTAGATATTCTAAGTAGTATTCTACTCCATCATCCTTTATTCCCCCACCACAGGGATGAAAATGGAAGAGTAATGCTATACTGTTGACCCTTGAAAACACAGGTTTGAACTGCACAGGTCCACTTAATTGCATGTTTTTTTCAGTAAATAAATACTATACCACTACATGATCCGAGATTGGCTGAATCCAGTGATGCAGAACTGGAATAAGGAGGGCCAAATGTAAAGTTATACACAAATGTTTGACCGAGGCGGGGTTGGCACCCCTAACCCTGCATTGTTCAAGGGTCAACTGTATTTGCATTTATCAACTTGACAGTCTGTTAGAATTTGTTTTTACTTATAAGATCATTAAAAAGTATCTGTAGTTCTAATACAACTTTCTGGGTGAGACTGAAGTAGGGCATTATCAATCATAGCCAAATTTGCACTCATGAGTAAAAAAGCATTAAACTGAAGATGAGACCTTAGAGTGCGGTAAGACTAATTCTTGTCATTTTTGCAGATTAAAAAAATATGTGTCCTAGTCAAATAGCTAGTTAGTGGATGACACTATACCTGTCATCTCCCTAACGTTTCATTTGAAAGAAAACTTGGTTTTCATTCTGGTATTGTGTTACTTTCCGAAAGGTTTCCTTGTGTAGTAACCTTTTGATTTAATGCAAAAATATCTCTGCACTCTGATTTTGTAATGAGTTGCTAAAAATAAGTAGCAATTACAAATGACTACTTATCCATCACAAAGTATTAGTGATTGTAAACCATTCAGAAAGTGTAAAATGGGGCTTCCCTGGTGGCGCAGTGGTTGAGAGTCAGCCTGCCGATGCAGGGGACGCGGGTTCGTGCCCAGGTTCGGGAGGATCCCACATGCCGCGGAGCGGCTGGGCCCGTGAGCCATGGCCACTGGGCCTGTGTGTCTGGAGCCTGTGCTCCGCAGCGGGAGAGGCCACAACAGTGAGAGGCCCGTGCAAAAAACAAAAAAAAACAAAAACAAAACAGAAAGTGTAAAATGCAATTAAAATATGAGCTAATACAATAAAGCCCATCTTTCATAGTTTTAGGGGTGGCTAGGGGAAAAAAGCAATAAAATAAGAACCATAAGAAATGATATGGATTCTGTAGCTAAAACCATGATCTCAACATTTTAAAACACTTAATATAAAAATTCTGAATCTGTTCCAAAATTTCCATAAACATCTAAACATAGCCACTGAGTAAAACAAGATATTTACATTAAGTAGTATCTGGAAAGCTACTAAAATACAAAGCAATTAAAGGTTTCTATCTCATATATAAAATGAAAGACAACCTTGAAAAGTTACCTATCTAAACTATTAAGAATGTAGACTTTCTGCTCTCTGTAACTGCCTACCTCATTAACCGTTTCAACCTCCTTTCATAGCTCTCTTCTATCTCCCTGGCCCTTCGCTTTCTCACCTGTCTACTATCACTTCTTTGATGAACCATATTATCTATATCCTCATGACTCTCCCAAGTTTTTATCTCCAGTCCCAGACTTCTCTCCTGAACTTGATCTTAATAACCATCTACTTGACATTTTTGCTTGGATGTCTAATGAAGACCTAACATGTCCAAAACTGGACTGCTGATCCATTTCCCTCCCAAATCCTCTTCTACTATCTCAGTCTTTCCCCATCCTCCAGTTACTCAAGCAAAATCTTTGCCGTTATCCCTATTACCCACATCTAAGAAATCGGAATATATTTTGGCCCTACCTTCAAAACAGAGCCACAATCTGGCCACTTCTCATTACCTTCTCTGCTACTACCCCTAATCTTAACCATCATTATCTTGTGCTTAGGTAACTGAAAAAGCCTCCAAACTGGTCTCTCTTGTACCCTTGCCTCCTTATGTTCTATCTACATTCAACACAGCAGCCACAGGAACCTAAATCTGAGCATGTCCCTTCCTTGTAATAGCTCTACATTTCACTTGGAGTTTAAATCTAATTCCCTATTAGGGCCTACATGGCCCTAGATTGCCCCATTACTTCTCCCACCTCGTCTCCTGTTGCTCTCCCACACTGGCTTCCTTGCTGACTCTCTAATATGCCAGGCTTGCTCCCATTTCAAGACCTTTACACTGGCTACTCCCTTTGCCTGGAATGCTCTTCCCAAATATATTCTGGCTAACTCCCTTTGTTTAAATATCACCTTCTCACAGACACATACTACCACATTCTATGAAAAACGCAGCCTCCCTACATTCCCCATCCCCCTTAACCTACTCTTTTTTTCCCCTTTAGCATCTGTTACCTTCTAACAAACCATTCAATTAACTCATTTTTTGCTTTTTTGGTCTGTTTTCCCCTGCTAGAGGATAAACTCCATGGCAGCAGGACTTCGCTTTGTTTACTGGTATATTCTACTTATAAGTAATGACTAACATAGTTAGGTGCTCAATAAATAGGATCTGGGAGAAAATAACAATTATTCTTATTCCCTTTATTCTTAAGGACAACGGTAAGATAAAAGAAAAAAAACATGTGCTTTAACATCACATCACAGAAACACATATGTGAGCAACCCATCTAAAAACTTACCTCTACAATCTTCTCTCTGTTTTTGGTTGGGTTCATAGGAGGTTCTGTGAGCAAGATTTTACAATTCCTGGTATCTATGTTAAGTTTCTCTGGTCCAAATGTATAGTCCCACAGGTGTTTCATGTCATCCCAATTTCGTACTATGCCATTTTCCATTGGGTAATTAACTTCTAACATTGAGCGTAATTCACTTGCCTCATCACCAACCATAAGATCCTAGAAAATTATAATATCAAAGCTTTAGACCAAATTTTTGTATAAAATACCTTCAGAAAATTATCCTCCCATAATATTTTGGAAAACTTGGGAATAATTAATTTTAATTTTTCTGGCACTTTCAGACAAAGTTCTTCATTCCACAAGTTAAAAAATCTTTTCCTTCATGAACGCCTTGCAAATCTTAATCATGAATAATAATTTTTTATGTACAGCGTGGTTTAAATCAATAAATTGACCTTACCTTTAATACATATGTTTCCAAAAGAAGAGCATTAGCACAAATAAACCCCACATTTTCATATTTTGGAGGGTTTTGTATGAGGTTTCATCTGTTTCTTTTGCTCAAATGTTCAAAAAATAAGGCCTGTGATATGTGAGATAGCACATCAGGGGAAAAAAAAACTTGTAGAAAAATGCTCAATGCATGCAGCACATTTCTTTGTACTAAATATCAAAATGATAAGTGTGAGTACTATAAAGCATAATGAGAAGCAAAAAATAAAAGGATGTTTTATTACACTGTAAGAATGGACATATGCACCATATAACTTGTAAATTTCACAAACTTCTATCTATATATGCCTCAATTAGAATTGAAATTAAATTTCAATATATGCCTCACCAAGATGAATGATAATTTGTAGAGATACAAAAAATTAAGACAAAGAGAAGCAATTCTTCTTTAAAATTATCTCATGAGCAACATCTTCAATCTTAAAGTATAATACTGGAAAACTATGCTATTACACACGAAGCAGAATACTCACAAGTCTTGTCTCCAATGACAGCATACTTAAGATGACCCACATTTCAAAAGTCAAATTTTGTGTGTATAATAAGGCTAATGATGTCCCAGAATTTAAACTTATTTTAGAAATCGGCTAGTCAAAATGCTAAATAATCTTGATTTCTACATATACTGATGAATTCAATTAAAAAAAAAAACCTAGTATCAGAAATAGCTACTATTTGCTATAAGACCTTAGGATATTTTAAAACAGAAGTTTAAATACATGTATGAGTTTAAAACTTTTAAAAATAACTATTAAAAAAAAAGAGAAGAGATAAACAAGGATGAAAACTCTAAAAACAACAATAAAAAAAAACCAAACAGATTTCGGGAAAATCCACTGAAAGCAACAACAAAAAGGAAAAACAAAGTTAAAGCACATGCTAGAAATGTTCACTGAAACTTTTCTGTTGCAACTAATTTTGTATAAAGTTAATTTACCATAACTTAATACTCAAATTGCTTAAATATTAGCTATTTAGGATCATCTGATAGGAAAATGCAAAACTAAAAATCTGTATTTGTGAACTCTAGTAACTGACATGCATTTGTTGAATTACTTATGGAGAAGTATACTGATAATTTCAAATACATCAAAAGACAAGATACACTGATGGACTGACAGATGGATAAATGGATACATATGTGATATATCAGTATAATAAACATTAATATCAGAATCTAGGTGATGCATGTATGGGTTTCACTGCAAAATTCCTTCAACTTTGCCGTGTATTCTAAACACTTCTTAATAAAATGTTAGGGGGAGGAATTTATACCTCCAAGTACATATATTACTTTTGGCCATCAATATAACTTAATATACAATTTTGTTACTTTCTTCTAGAATATATCTTTCTTTGTGTTATCCAAGGTAATAACAGATCAGATAATTAGATGGTTTATATCATCGATATATATTCACAACTACATTTCAACAAATTTAGTATAAGTCTGGTCTGATTTCATCAGACTGTTTAGTTTTTATTCCATGCAAGAATAGGGGCTTACATATGTCTGATCTAATGCCAACTCAAAATAAAAGTGTCATGGATCTACTTCTAGGGCACACATACCATAAATAATTAACTGAAAAAAACATCTGGCATTGAGTATCTTACCATCCCTCTGAACAGAGGACATTTAAAATGGAAGAAAACAAGTATTAACTTATCAAATTAGTGCAAATAGTCTTGACTAACTCAAGCTACCTAATTTAAAAACGTATCCATATCTAAAATTTTATTTCAAAAAATCCTAAAACATATAGTTTTCCTTAGAACATTTTAACTTCCAAAACCCCCAAATGATAAAAGCTTTATGTAACTTGCCCACATCTCCAAGACCAAAATTATAACCCATCAGATCAGGCCTTAGTTTTTTACCACCCACCTCATCATTGGACCAAGCCTAAACCATCACCTATTACCTGAAAGAATGAAAACTTATAGTAACTGTCTGAGATGTTGTTATAAAAGCATTTATATTTTATGAAAAGCAGGCAGTGTAGATGAGATTTGCCAAGAATCATTCTGAACAATGTCACCTCAAATTAAAAGTAGAGCAAATATACTTTAAAACCACAATTAAATTTCATAAAAAACACTAAATTAAGCCTACACTGTTCTCTACAAGTACATTTTTTTTCTTAATCTCCTTCAGATTTTAAGACAAATGCATGACCTTTTATTTAGGATAAATGTAGGAATTTCCACTTTTAAATGCTTTTGTTTATTCAAAAGAAAACATCACAAAGTCACTGTTACTAGTTAAAATACATATCACTAGAAAGGCCTGATATTAATCTCTGTCAAAGCTGCTTACAAATAATATTAAAAACAAACAAACTTGAAAATATCTACTACAGAAAGCACTTTGACTATCACAGAAAAATATGATGAAAGAGTCAATTGCCTGGGAAGCGCCTAGTTCTAGTTCAAAAGAAAAAGGTGCCACACAATGGTATTTATTTAGAGGAAGAATCTATTGTCTAGGCGAAAGTCTTACAAGACTTCCACCTTTTTCTTATTTATACTCAGATAATGCAAAATCTGCTCATCGATAAGGATAATATAGGAAACAAGTCAATCTCTTTTTCTCCCCCTTTACTATTTATAGTTCATTTGCACATTAAAATTTTATTCAGTTTATTAAATACACATATGATACTGTACTGGATGCAAATATATACACACATATATAGAGGCTACGACAGGCAGTGTTCAATTTAACAATGGTCAATAAAGTGGATTTATCCAAATGCAACAACTTCACCCCAATTTTCTGGATCACACATATCCTAAATAAAGCCACTTGGTTTCTAATAAAATGCACACGACATTCCATTTTAATCGTAACATTCATCTACAAAAAACACAAGGAAAACAATTCAAAACTATGTTAGTAATTAGTTCTGATTTGGTCCATTGTATGCAATCAGGAAAAGTATAGGACTTAATTAGTTGCTACCAAATTGAAGCAATGAAAAAGGTTAAAAATCAAAGTACTTAAAAACTAAAAAATTAAAATATGGAATTACCCCCCTCCCCAATACCAAAGGGACACAAAACAACAACTACTGTCCCACCAAGCAAAAGTGGAAAACAAACAGAGAGCATGTGTGTAACCTCACTTACCATCTTTTTGTTATTCTACTTCAACAGGTCAAGAAAGGTGAAGAGAGAGAAGGTAGAAGTAAGAGTCAGAAAAGGCCTAAATAAAATCCTCACTGAAATTTTTAAACATACAAGCAATAAAGACAAATTAGGTCGAGGTCAGATGCAGTACTACTACAGTTTACGGAGTTAACAATTAGGGCCGATTTGCATGGACAGTTATTACTCCTGAATGAAAATAAACTCATTAAACAATTTAAATTTCCAGTTTTTAGTCTACCACATTTTAGCTAACAAGACACAAAAAGTATAAATCAATCCACTAGGCACAGGAATTCCAAAAAAGTCAAATTTCTTTAATTCATTACTGAATTTAAGAACCTTAATTAAGGAAAATAAATAGCAGAAAAGGTCTAGCTGAGTAGGTAAAGGGTATTTAGAGTGACTTTCCAAGCTCTAGTAGTCAAGTTAAATTTGATACAGGTCTGTTTTCTTTCACTGTTTTCTACTGGAAGAACAAATTAACTTGAAAGACTTAAAAGATTAAGCAGATTGAACAGAAGTGAGCCAACCGAACACAGACTGACAAACCATACAAGCAAATGCTACTGGGGAATTCCTTAGCAAAAATGTCTTATTAGAATATCTAGTTTCATTTCTATCACTTGGCCTTAAAAAGCAAGAAAATGGTAATTATTGTGACTATGCTGGTCAATAAAAATAGCTATATGTGATGTATCTTAATACCTCAAAAATGTTATTATCCATAAAGTATATAAAAAGCCATTCTTCTTTAAAAGGCTGATACTGAATAAAAGTGTGACTTCCAACATCATTAAAAAGTTTACCCTTATCACTATTATTAGTTAAATTTTAAGTTGAGTTCATTTAAGATCGAATTCAATCAGAACGAAAGGAGTTCACAAAAAGAGAATACAGAATTCCATAAAATTCCCAAAAGACCCTAAAAAAAAAACCCAAAACAAAAACAAAAAACCTCTCATATTGAGTATCCCTTCTGATTGTAACATAACAAAACAGAGGCCAGAATCATTCACTCTTTTATGCTTTAAAAAATTAACACAGAACCTAAGTTTCAGTTTGTATTTTTATTCATTGTGTAATTCAATTCTCTAGTCCCAACAGCAGAGAGCCACCAAGTAGCAAACCTCTACCACCTATTACCGCCTTCCTAGACATCTCAAATAAACGTTCCAGAGAGGCACACACTAACTCACACACTAACAATTCAGTGAAGTCTTGCCAAGGACTGTCCAGATTGGACCAACAATGCTAGTCCATTCACAAATGATTCAGCAAAAGGGCCCCTAAATGCTACTGCATTTTGTATAACCTGATCCCTAGGCCACCTGAAAAATTTAAGTCAATTGGTGACCACTGACTTTTGATTCTTTTTCTTCTACAATATTGTAACTCTCACTTGATTTTCAATCCCTTTAATAGAAGATAAAAACCTATCACCCATAACATCCAGTCTCTCACGTTAAGTACAGTAGGTAGGCAATGACAATATTCCCTTCCCTCTCCTCGTGCTAAGATAAATACAAGGCCAAATAAAGACTTGCACAGCTTCCTTCTGCACACTATGGAAATCAGTTATACTGGTGAAAAGAGGAACCAATAAGATTTATATCCTGTGTTTCCTGACTAGCTATATAAAAATGTAGGGGGATCAGGCCATGAGAACATGGGAAGGAAAAATCTTAGGTCCCAAAGAGACACTAACATAGAAAAATATATGGAACTGAAAGACATAAAAATACCAGGCTGATTTCTTTTAAAAATTATATTAGGTAATAGGACTTTAAGTCACTAATAGAGTATTCACATCAACACAAAAATCTTACTAAGTATTTTACTTCATTCAGAGAGTAATGGCATCAAGCTATACTTAAAGTCAGATGAAATTAACTTCAGATTCTGGTGCCTTTCTTCAGGTGTTGATAAAAATTTTAAATATAAGAAATTCGGCCCTCCTCCTTTGCTTTTCAAGGCATCACATTTTAAAACTACTTAATTCAAAGAACACCTCAAAGAACAATGAGGTTTTGCTCCTCATTTATCAATAAATAAAATATTACCTTGATTTCAATGTTTCCCACTTTGGTGGTTGATCTGATAATAGGTCTTCCAACCAAAGCTGGGAAGATGTGTTCTGGAAAGTTAGAGCCTGCATATCCACACTTCACAAACTGGAAAAGAACAGTAAAAGTGAGTTAGTGTCAAGGTATTTATGATATTATCCTTTTAAAAACTGTATTTGAAAAGTACCACTTTGCATTTATACAATATTTTAAACTTCTGTTGCTTTCAAATTACCCAAAGTAGTCACCCCACCTATCATATCCTCCATTTATTTCCTTTATGGCACTACTACCAGAGTTCCCGTTTCCTTACTAGTTAACTGCTTATTTAGTGCCTAGGTCTCCCCACCACAGGGAGCTAAGCTGAGCAGTTCATGCTGGAGCCCACTGCCTTGATGCACAGCGGGGAAGGGACAAATTCACTCAACAAATGCTAAGGATTTTTAAGAGAGAAATGTCAGAAAATGAACAGATCTAAAGCAGCTTTTCATTCATGTCTGGCAATTCACTTAAGCAACCCCATTTTTGAAAATGGGAAAATCAAATGGCATATGGACTAGCAACAAAATAAACATTTATTAGGCATTTTGGGCTATTTACATCTTTATATTTAGACAAACGTATTCAGTAATACCAAATGACATAATTTCATATTCAGATAGTGTACTCCTCCAATGAGGACATATCACTGACTCTAATAATACTTCCATTTTATGAATAAGAAACTGATATACTAGGAGATTTAACAATCTACAGTAAAACTGAAAACAGAACCAAGGGTTTTTAATTCTTATACCAATAATACAGTCTGTTTAGTCTTATTTTTAAGAGCAGCCATTACAAGGAAAAGGCAGTTTAAAACTTCAGGGTGGGAGGAAGAAGCTATAAAAGAAAGGAAATGCAATCAGTCTCTACCCTCTCTCTCCCTTACCAAGCCTTTATTCAATGTATGGTACACTGTGCAAGGATTTTTGTGTCTATTGATGAATCCCAAGCACCTAGAACAGTGTCTGACACATACTAAATGCATATTATTTAACTGATCAATAAATATTAGTTTTGCTGTTGACTCGTATGATACTATGATTATTTTAACCTAAAGAATATGTTTAATATTGAGAAAGTCTATTGTTCCATGGCTTCAGGTACCATATTCTCTTAGAAGAATTAAGGAGAGAAACAGTAACTGAATGTGATGCATGATAGTAATAACACAAAAGTGGACAGAAAGCTGTTACATACAAGGAACTGTTTTGTTTGATAGTGGTAAAGGTTAGCAACTACCTGAAACTCACTGACTTCTGACTAACCCTCCAAAATATAAAATTTTTCTACTGCAAAGACAATCTTGTTGGAAATGATGTTGATGAACCACATTTAATTATAAATAGTCTAGAACATTCTGCCATGCATAACTTCAAGTCTTTTATAAATAGAGCTCTTAAAAATATGTTGAAGTCATGTCTTTAGCAGACTAAAGCTACTGGTATGAAAAATCTGCCTAAAATTTTAAAATTGCATATTTCCAATACCACCTGAATTCGTATCTCCTCAGTTCACGTTTACATTTTAGAACCTACATAAAACACACTGCTCAGATAGGTTTTCTTCCAAACTCACAAAACCTAGTCCTGCTTAGTTTACCATTCAGCACATACCCATTTCTAAAACTATGATACAATTCTGACCGGATTACCTTCCAAGGCAGAAGTTACTGTGATATGATGGCATATGCAATAGATTACCTGCTTGCTCATACCTCTCTCTCCATTTGAACAGTGGTTGATAAAGAGCAATACACTTCCCACCCTAAAAAAGTGTTCAACAGAATTCAGAAATGCTAGTCCATTTTTCCACAATGTCTTCCCAAATAATTTAACAACGTGACCCAGAAAGAGTTGGAGTGACAACTGCCACAGAGGAAAAGAATAACTTAGTATTTTCTAGTCTATTCAAATTAAAAGAAAATGAAAAAACCTCTCGCACGCTTTTCTTCTAAATCAAACTCGCTTTTGTCCTTAAGTGAAAAGCCAGCTCACTGGACGTGAACTGAAATCAGGTGCAAAACAAGAGAATCTCTTCTCATTACCCCACCATATCCAAATTTTTACACAAATAAAATTTGTCATGATCACCAGCTTTAGTCATAATTTATACATATGTTCCAAATATAGAAACCAAATACAATGTAGACATTAAATTCTTATGTGTTAACATAATGAACAGATAAGGACACTGGGTGGGTCAAAAGTGTCCATTCACCAGACTGAACATGCTCACATGGGTATAAATGTTCTTTAAAAAAATGACAGAATGACTGAAAAAAGAACCTACAAGTTTGTAAGGGCATTTTTAGCATATTAAATGGAAACAAATGATTTAAGTGAGAAATCGTAACATAAGGTAAAGGTGGGGCAGGAGCCTGGAATGGGGCGTAAGCCAAGTCCTGGTGCAGGGAGGAGGCTGCGAACGTTGACGTGCCTCCCCTCATTCTGAGCCAAACACACTGGGAAAGGTGCAACACGGTAAATCCATAATCATATCACTCAAGGTTTACTGATTATAATCTGAACAATTACAGATGGGTAGTTTGCATCTTGAAATTCTTGTCTGAGCATACTTCACGGGACAAAATATTTGCCAAGTGCCTGAGGTAAGATGACAAAAAATTACGAACTCCTGAAACTATAAAAATAATTGTAAACTACTATTCCTGTGCTTTATAAAAAATGGAAATTTGGCTTTTAGTTCAAATTAAAGATACCAATCACTTATTAATGAAATTATTTACTCTGCTTAAGCAGTAGCTTATTGGAAGTAGATGCTGCCATAGTAATCCAGTGCTAGCATTACTACAGGGTACTAGTGTTTGGTCAAAATGGCAAGTGCTGCACTATTTCACATTATTTCAAATGTGAAAGCACTATAGTTATAATAACAAGAATATAATTACAATGATCTATTTCTCAATAACATATAACCAACAGACAACCTGGCATTTCCTTTCTTGTAAAAAGTATTTTTTAAAAGATCTAAACCACGATGTAATAAAATACAAAGAAAATATTCTTTTTTAAATTATTTGTTTGGTATCATTTTTAATCCTGGAGATACCTCCCCCCACTCCAATCATTTTAAGACTTGGTGGCTTAGTTCTCTCATCATGTGCAATAAGGCTGTGTTTAAGAAATAGATTTTACCATATATAGTTTCCTCTTCATAGCACTGTGGTTTAAACTGGCTCCCTTACTTCCTACTGAGTCATCAAATGGTAAGAACATGAACAATATAATGTTCTTTCAAGCAACAAAAAAAAGCTCATCTACATTTGCTCTAAAAGTACCCTTCTCCCTCAAAAAATAAACTGGGATTTATAAAGTCTCATTTAGGCTTATTTAATTTGTATTTTTCCTTTATTAATTTAAATTGATAGTATTGACATATTAATTTAATTGCATAGTGATTATTCTGATCTTAGACCACCAAAATATTTATTATATTTATTCCAAAGCACTTTTTTTTTTTTTTTTGCGGTACGCAGGGCTCTCACTGTTGTGGCCTCTCCCATTGCGGAGCACAGGCTCCGGAAGCGCAGGCTCAGCGGCCACGGCTCATGGGCCCAGCCGCTCCACGGCACGTGGGATCCCCGGACCCAGGCACAAACCCCGTGTCGCCTGCATCGGCAGGCAGACTCTCAACCACTGCGCCACCAGGGAAGCCCTATTCCAAAGCATTTTATAGGGTGAAACCAAACCTGTTTCTGATTTTTCTAATTCAAACACTCCTAAATTCATCATATAAATCTGTATAAGCCTGATAAAGGCCATAATACTACAAATGTGAATTGTAAAAGTATAATTACCTAACACTATAAGCTACTTTGTATCACTAGACCCTAAAAATTATACCAGTCACACAGCAGGCACACCAGAAGTCTTCACTGTTGGTGAACTAACTCAATGTTGACGAAATCACCCAAGTTTGGTAAAAGAATATACAACACCCGGGGCCCAGGCCCAACTCCTGCAAGGCACCCAAGCCTAAGCAGATCTCCACATTTTCACCTATCTGGCCACTTTCCGCAGCTCTATTTTAGGTGCAGGTTTGGACGAAGGCTCCATTTTAGGTATGAATGGTTATGAAGGTGAAATGCATAAAGTACTGAAAATGGATGAGCTTTTCCTCCTCTAGGAGGAAAAGAGACAGTGGTCAGCTTGGGAGCTAATGAGGAAGAAGAGCGGGACCAACATCTGGCATGTGATCACAAGAACTCACCTACTCTTAGGGCATTCGATTTAGGGCCTGCCAGAGGGGCTTAAAAAATCAAGTTCTCGGGACTTCCCTGGTGGTGCAGTGGTGAAGAATCCGCCTGCCAATGCAGGGGACATGGGTTCGAGCCCTGGTCCAGGAAGATCCCACATGCCATGGAGCAACTAAGCCCGTGCGCCACAACTACTGAAGCCCGCGTGCCTAGAGCCCGTGCTCCGCGACAAGACAAGCCACCGCAATGAGAAGCCCACACACTGCAACAAAGACCCAACACAGCCATAAATAAATAAATAAATAATCAAGTTCTCAAATACCTATAATTTTAACACCTAAAATGTGTAAGAGGCAAATTGCTTTGGAGTAACAACTATTCCCATAAGTTTTTAGAAATTTAATTTTAATATCTTCTTTATTTAATCATAGAGGAATCATTAGACCTTCAGGTACCTAAATAAAATCAAAATGACTATGAAGTATAACCATAAGAAATACAGAATCTAAGTGGTTCCTAATTCTCTAAATTTTCAGAAATATCACAGCATTCATGACTACATACCACATCAGAGCTGTTTCTTCATTTGAAGTCTACCATGTCCTATAGAAAATCTGGATAAAAATTTTAAAGTAACTAGAAACATAACACCAAATATGTAAGTTTTTGTTTGAATTAACTACACTTTTCTATTTATGTCATAGTAGCTGATCTTTTGTCTTAAGAAACAAGATTCTTAAATTATGGATTAGACATAAGACTAATCAATAATATACAATCAGTTTTCTAACACAAATAAACTAATGAAATAGTAACATAAAAACTAAATATTATGGGACTTCCCCAGTGGTCCAGTGGTTAATACTCCGCGCTTCCACCTCAGAGAGCGCGGGTCCGATCCCTGGTCGGGGAACTAAGATCCTGCATGCGGTGCAGCCAAAAAGAAAATTTTTTTAAAAAAGAAGAAAAAAAAAAAAAACTAAATATTATGAGAAAACATATACTACAAAAACAGGGTTCACTGTCCTTCAAAGAGGAGGAATCCATTAAAACATAACTGACTTCAATTTCTAAAGAAAAAAGCTGACATATTCACAAAACAAAATATATTAACATCAACTTTTAAAGATTTACATTTATTTAGAGGTCAATTTGAGACTACAGTGGGAATCAGGCTAATATTTTTTTAAAAGCACCTTTAACTGAGTTTTAACTGTAAAAGCAATACATGTTTATAGTTAGTTTCACTTAAAGATAGTTTAACAATACATGGTTTGTTAAAAAAACAAAGAACAGTTTTCCAATAATTCAGAAGGGTGATGAAGTCCTTCCCACCTTACCTCACTCTTATCCCTAGTCTCACAGGTAACCACTATGAACATACATTTCTTATGAATTCCGCCAAAACTTTCACATGAAAGTTTGTGTCCACATTTGTGGACACATAAATATCTTTAATAAAGAACACACACATAAATGGAATTGCTGTAAAACTTTTCTTTAAACTTAACAATAGATCATAAAACTGTTTCTATAGTGGTGGACCTGCCTCCTTTTCTTTAAGTACTATTCCATTTTGTATGGATGTCTTCTTACTCTCATCCGTTTTTAACTTAGGTCAGATAAAGCTAATATCATCATTGCTTGTAAAAGTCTTAACAAATTCAATCAAGAGCAGCATTACAGCAGTGAATATCAGCTCTTTATTCCCCTCAACAATCCAGTTTCCAAAGGGCTTTAAAGTTCAAATAAAATCTATTTTAATTCATCTATCACATTTATGGAAGGGGATACATGTCACAAAATACTGCAGCTCCAAAATGGTGAGCACTTGTTGTAATGTAGGGGGAAGTGATCACTACAGAACTCATCCAAAATAAGTAACACTTCTGTCTTCTAATTTGCTGACTTTGCTGCCCAAAATACATTTTTTTTTAATGGGGTGGGGGGGCGACTCAAAGAAACAACTTTCAAATAATTTCTATATCAGTGTTTTACTCAGATTTTTACAATTATTTGCATTTTAGAATCTTAAATACTAACATTACCTGTATTCTGCAAGTAAGGAAAAAAAGGAGGAGGGGTACCCAAACTGATTAACTTCCCCTAATGTTAGTGGAATTAACACTTGGGCCTTAAAGGGTGCAAGATCAACCACTAGAACACACTGGTCTCTGCGGGGCTGCACCTGGGCCAAATTTCCAGCATGCAGAACAAAAAGTAAATGATGCGCTGCCGACCTGGTCTCCCTTCCCCTCAAAAAACAAGAAAACAAAAAACCAAACACTGCGAAAGGACTGAGGCTCACTGCATGACAGCACTTCCCTTTTTTCTTTAAACCCGTTTCCTGTCTCCCGTTCTGTATCTTCAACTATACAGGAAGAGGAAGGCCTCTTGATCTTTTTACACACCGGCGACCCTGGGGAATGGAGCCCTTTTGGAACACACAAACCCAGCCTTTTACCCCTCCGGCCCTTTAGCCAGAATCCCGCGGCTCCAGCGCGGGGCCGGCCCCGGCCGGGCAGCAGGTAGTAACCCCATCCAGTGCCGGCCTCGCCCGCCATCCTGACCCCGAGCTGCGGGAGTGGCGGGCTCGGGGAAACTAAGGGGCCCGACCCTCTCGCGCGCCACACCCACGGAGGCGGGAAGCGAGGCCCTGGCCCCTTGGCCCCGGGGGCCGAGGGCCCAGGGGTGCAGCCCCGGGCGCCAAGGGCCCGCGCGCCCCTCGCTCATCCCCTGACCGAGCCTGTAGCCGCTGCAGCCTCCCCGCGAAGCGCTTACCCCGGTGCCGTTGTCGCACACCACCACCTTCCGGCCCTGGCTGTCCATAGTGCGCCCGTAAGAGAGCCGGAGCCGCCGCCACCGAACAACCTACAACCGCCGCCGTCCGTCGGTTCCTCTTCCTCCTCCTCCCTCTTCCCGGCCCCTCCCGCGGCCCAGCTTTTTTCTCCCACCCGGAAGTGGCCGTCCGCCCCTACCCGCCCCTGCCCGCCACCTACTGACTGCCGGCGCGGAAGAGGTGAGGACGGGAGGGAGGAGGCCGAGACTGGCAGCGGTGAGCTCCAATAAGAAACAAAGGAGCCTGAGGTCCCACCCACGGCGCCGTTTCCGGCTTCGGTTCCCGCTCCGCTTTCAGGGTCGCCGCCCATGCAGGTTCTTCCTGTCGGCGTCTCTTCCCCGGCGCTTCGTCGGGTGTAAATGGCCGCCGAGGTGGCGGCCGCTGCGGTCTTCTCCTTAAGGCGTGGCAGGAGTTGGCTCCGCTTACCCGGCTGAAGGAGGCGCAGGCAGATGAAAGATATCTGGTCTGTGGCGAGATCGCAATGAAATGTGACAGAGAAGCCTACCGGGAGGGCGGGAGGCGGCAGACCCACTTGCTAACCCCACTATTGAATGAGGCTTGGTGTGTCATGCTTGTAGACCTTTTCAGTGGGCAGAGCTGCGATGGTACAGACACATGAAATCGCGCATTTATACCGATTCCTCCAATTCCAGCCCAGTCTGTCTGCCCAGTTTGCCCTTAGTCAAGTGAACAAGAGTAGGTGCTTAACGATTCCAGCCTCATTGCTCACCACTTCCCTTGCAGCAGCATGATATTGCTTCACACCTCTTCAGTATATGTACCTATCTGAACCCAGACTCTGTGCTTTGAAATCAGACAACCCCAGTTTCAAACAAGGCCCTGCCACTCAGGAATTCTGTGATCTGGGCCCGCCCTACATGAGCCCTCAGTTCAATATTATAATACCAGACTGCTTTTCAGTTTCACTTTGTTCTTTTATTAGACAGTGGTTTTCAAACCTTATAAAGGCATAGAATGCTTTATTCAAATTTAATCTTAAATGGAAACCCAACATATAAAAATAGATCAAAGTATGGGACTTCCCTGGTGGTCTAGTGGTTAGGATTCCTCGCTTTCACTGCCAAGGCCAGGATTCAATCCCTGGTGGGGGAACTGAGATCTTGCAAGCCGGACAGCCAAAATTAAAGAAAAGAAAAGAAAAGATAAGATCAAAATAAAGCTGCCATAGTTGTTGGAAGTTTGAGAAGTTAGTCTGAGTAGGAGGCCTCGGGGGAATCTGTCTTCCCTGCATCTGCTTCAGTAGTCATTGAGGTACCTCAGCCTGCTGAA